GCAGGAGCCCTGTCATCTCACTGTTAGGGATAAACCCGTGCACGGAGTTTGGTTCCTTACTTTTCATCTGATCGCTCTTAACGTTGATGATTTTGAGTTAGATGTCGTTCGTAGAACTCTCAGTTGTCAGAGTTTGTGGGCATCTGGGATTTTTCCTTTTCAGCTTGTATTACCATTGCGGGTATTTTTTGTTACTATTCTGTGTTCTTCTAGTTCCTAGTTCTTAATCTCAAAGACGGTTTGAAGCTTGTTTCTTGCCTTTGTTCTTTGCTCATTCTGACTCCTGTGAATCTTGCTTTAAATTGTATTTTTTCCCTTTGCTCTGTTTTACATGGAGGGTTTTTTTATTGTTGTTATTGCATTTTTAAACTTTTCTCGATATGACTTTGAGATCTGCCAAACTTTGTAGATTTCCAGGTCCACTCACAACAGAAAAAATTCCTGGGGTTCTGTATGGTTTCATAGAAATGTCAATGAAATCACAGGAGCTTTAAAGTGTTTCCTCTCTGCTGACCAACCCACAGATAATTTCATTAGAAATAACAAGCAGTTGCTGTGCAATACAAATTTCACCGGAATTCTGGGGTTCAGAACACTGTATTGGGAAAAGGTTTGTCCTGGGAGGAGGAGACTTGTGTACGTAGTGTCCCAGGACCCCGAATCGGAGGGAGCTCAGCCTGGAATCTCAGGGAACCGTGCCTCTTTAGTGAGATATATGGCTTCATAATTAGCCCCTTGCATTTTTTCCTGAGTGCTAGCATCAGCGTTCTATGATGTGTTTCCCTGATTAACAGCTGCTTTGCAACTATTTCCGTGTGCCACCGATAACCATATTTGTCAAGTCGGTCCTGGCAGAGCGCTGATTTCTTACTAAAATGCTGCATTTCTGTTTGAAGGGGGTTTCCTGTTCATTGCAGTGCCAGGCTTTTAAGTCAGCCCTTATTAAAACGTAAGTTGGCTTTAGCCTGATGCTTGTTAACAGGATTCTGGGTATCTCCTTTGGAGTAGGAGTGCAGAAACCTTTCACAGACAATTTAATCTTCTGAGCCTTGCAAACACACAGCTTTACACTGAGGGGGTGTTGCTGTAGGCTAATATATTGATCAGTTCCATTTGCCCTATAGCTGTGGCCTTCTGCTCTGGCTGAAATAGGTTGAGTGTTTGTTGATACGGCCATATTATTATATTTTAATACACAGGGAAAAAATTAATTCCAACTTCTTTTACATACGTCATGTATATTGCCAGCATTGATTGCTTCCGCACATGTAATGTAAACTGTCTGTGCATAGTTCATGGCCTGTGCCGCCTCTGCTTAATGAAAAGAAGTGTTGCATTTAAACAGATACAGATCCACTCTGAAAGACAAAATACCATCCCTTGCAACGTATAATTCAGACCCAACCTTTACATCACAGGTCATCTCAAAGTCTCAGTCTATCAACAAATGCTGTTTAGTAATAACCTACAGAGGGTTCCCAGGATTAGGAAATCTATTAGAGCTCTTACAGGCTGTGCTTCTGGTGGCTTTTAATTCTGTTTTCCACATGGAACTCTGTTACCAAATCCTGTGGAACTTTCACTGATGAAGGTGATGTTCTTTTACATTTTCATTAATTGATTGGATTTGGGGCTTTTTCTTCCTTGAGATGGTAGAAAGTGGGCATTTGCCGGAGTATTTTAAATTTGATGGTTTATATTTCTAATGCTAGTAACTGATAAAGTAGCTTAGACTGTTTCATTGGAAACCCTGCAGCTTTGAGCATAACAATAAATAAGGCTGGGCTTACCTTCCCCATTAATGCAAAAGGGAGGGAAATTAGGAATGAGGGACCTTGGCTGTAACGTCAAAGCGCTGTGTGCTGGTCCAGGATGCCGCCAGCCTGCTGCACTCCCACAACATCTGCAGTAAAGTTCCTGTCTCTCTTTTGTATCTTTGACATTGAAGCAGAATATTTGGCCTGAATTTATGTTATTTGGTCAGGCACAAATATTATCTATGAGTAGTTGCAATCATCCTCTAATTAGAAAATCAAACTGGAGGACAGGACCTGCTGCAGGGTTCCACCCATCACCACCCAGTCGGAAAGAAGGCTTTTGTATCATGTCACTGCAGGAGAAGTGGTGGGATAGTGAGTTTATGGGATTGACTTGCTTCTAAAGGCCAAAAACAGTGTCTTTTATTAGGAGAAGTATGTACCTGATCCACTAGAAAAAACTAGTTTGCTGGCCAGTGTGTGCTGGCAATCTAAGAATCAGAGTAGTGATACAATGCGCATTATTTGGCAGTGTCCTAATACCATAAAAATTTGGAGAAGTGTTACAAATGATACAGAAATAGTATGGAACAGTGTTACCAGCTGAGTCAGAGTGCTATTTGCTGCATGATTTTTTTTTGGCTATACACAGGGCTGCAAAGTCTTCTCATCTTCCTCCTCCTTTTTCTGTTATTTAAATTATGGACTGCAGTTGCCCTTGTTTGTGCAAAGAAAATGATCCATAGAAGGTAGGGAGGTTCGTGTGTGTGTTTGTTGAAAATATTGCCATTTTGACATGGCCAAAATTGCTTCATAAGTTGTTTGTGTATACAAGATGAATTGTAAAAATGAAGAAGTTTCAGCTCAGCCTATAGGAGGAATGTTCAGAGGTAAATGCAAACACAGATGTGAGAAACATGGGATTATTGGGAGAAGGAATACATGTCCAGCAGTCTTTTTTCCTGAAGTTTGTTGTTGCTTGAACTCTCACTTTGTTTTAAGATTCAAGACATTGCGAATCCTGGAGGAAGCGATGCAGGGGCAAGATAAAATATAAGTTTATTTTGGAGTGAAATTTACTACTGAAATGTTTACGTTTTTACAAGGCAAAAATAAGTTTTAATAAAGGGTTTGAATCAATAAAATGTTCACATGGTTGGGACTGAAATAGCACAATGAAAAGTACTGCTTCTTTCTTACAGGTTTTTAATGCTTAAACCTTGATAATTAGATAGGAGAGCTTGCGGAATTTCAGGGCTGCTGTGCCTGTGTCTCTAGCTCGCTAAATGTGGGAGGGAGTGTTGAGGAGTTTCTGAAGAAACAAACAAGTAATTATTGTTAGAAGGAAAGTGGTTTTGATACGTTCACATATCTGGTGGTCTGCTCATTTGGGCATCTTTCTTATTCAGCAGATTATCTTAAGGTTATTAGTTTGGGCACTTTGTATTTCTGCATCTGGCGTAGCAATATCAGCACAGTTTAAATCTGTGATTTGCCTGTCACCTGCATTTCAGCTGGAGACAGATCAAGTGCACATAAATGAAGCTGAAGTGTACTTTATGGGGGGTATTTTGTGCTAGTATTTTATGGTTCAGAATTACTGAATGTAAACTTAAGGGGGGAGGGGGGGAAAAAAGAAGGAAAATAAGAAAAGGCAAAGAATTAAAAATACCCCATTCATTTTCTCCTCCCAACTTCAAAGTGTGCTGGGACTTTGTCAAATTCCCGTTAAAATAAATATGTCAATTTCATCTCTCTTCCAAATTCATTTATCATGCTTTTTTAAAAGGTGTTTTCTGCTTTACCTGATGTTTAAATTGGATTCGCTCGTTTATGCTGTTCTTTGCTGTATCCCCCATGTTTTTCTTAAATGAATTAGTAATGACAGCGTACTCCATCATACCCTCTCTATAGCCACTTTAAGGGAAGCCTGGTGATCTAAACCTTTTAACCTATTAAAGATGATTTTCCCCAATTGAATCAGACCCACCACAGGTGTAATAACTAATCATTTAAACTACACCTGCTATTATGTATTTTTAAGCCATTATGCATGTTGGATAGATGATAATTCATGTTTATTGCATTGTCCAATGGATCCGTTTTGCCTACACTAGCCTGATTAATGTATTTAAAGAAATAAGAGATGCAATTTAAAAGAAAAAAAACATTGATGGAATGCACTGAGGAGTACATTGAAAGTGCCATTAAACCCATCAGAACTTTGCTCTCTGACCAGAAATGCATATTCGAAGGGTTTGATTCAAACACAAAGTGAAACTTGGTGATTTCAGCAATGCTGCTGGGGTTTTTTTCCTTCCTTTTCTGCTGTGAAAAGTTTTGAAAGGCTTTTTGGAACTGAATTCCAGAAACTCTTCAAGACCTACTTGACATAGGTCTCCATTTTAGGAGACGGTTTGTGCCACTGTTTGGGGAGAAATCCTCTTCCATGTATATGCGTGGTTATTTTTAGCTCTAGAGGAAGGAAGTGATCTCTTCCACTAGTTCACATGGATGTGTCCATCTCCTGAGTGCTTCAGGGACATTACTCCCCCTGATGCCACAATCAGAACAGATGTCTTTGTATGAAGGTAAAGTGAATCACCAGTGGAGCAACATGTAATAATGTGTGTAATAGTGTAGGAGTATATTTAACTTCTCACCTACCCATTCATGTCACGAAAAGTGACTCTTTTGATATTTTTGTAATGTGATCCAAAACATGTGAAGTTGCTTCTTTCCCAGTCATGACAAGCTGAGGTTTATTTATTGCTTTCAGTAAATTTGATGGCAGAAAAGGCCTTAATCTCTTAGAGTTTGCAGAGAGCTTTAAGTCAGATAGAAAGGGAGCATTCTTACTAGTTAGCCTAGTTACCGATCACATGCATTGGCTCTGGGTTGCCCTCAACTATAGGTGCCAACTTAGGTAAAAAGACCACAGTATAAATGTCAGAAACCCCAGAGTTTTTGTACAGGTTGAGCTGTTCCAAGAGTAGTTCAACAAGAAACCTCTAGGTTAAAATACCATAGTTATGCTGTCTGATTCGAGTTGAGACACAGCCTCTGATGCTCGTTGAATCATTTCTGAAAGTTGGATCACTGTCAGCTCCAGACCATCTCCATGTGTTGGGTGTGATGCCTTTACTTTGCAGTACAAAATGCATAATATGAAGTAGGAGTTTGACCATTCCTAACTTGGATCTTTTCTCTCTTCTGTTTTTCCAACCCTTCTACCCTCATCAGATTGTGACAGCAGTGAAGTTTTTACAGAACCCACGAGTCCGCCAAAGTCCTATTGCAAGCAGAAGAGCATTTCTGAAGAAGAAAGGTATGGGCTCTTTTGTGGTCTCAGTGGTAACGAGAGAGCTTGAGTTAGTGTAAAACCAAATTGTATTGCTATGGAAAATTAGATGTTAAGGACAAAAAACAGAGGACAAAGTCTGTCTCAAAAAAAAAGGTTTGAAGTTTGTAAGAAATACCAGTCTCTTCCAAACTGACAATATTGGCACCAGATGTAGAATTACAGACTACAGAAGGCACATTGGAAGTTTTTGGGTTAACTGTTATCAGATCTTTTCTGCAATAAGGACGGTTTAGAGCTGTAAACTAGCTGGTCAGTTCTAACCTTAGCAACATTGGCTTTAGAACGACCAGCTTCTAGGTAAAAAGGTTGAATGTTTCTGAAGAGAGCCAGAGAGAGGAATGAAGGGCAAAGGACTTGGTGAAAGTAAACAAGGTTGGGCTAAGGTCAAGCTTGGGGTCAACCTGACTTTCAGGCTGAAATGGTAAACTACTGACTGAGTTTAGCCCTTTCCTGTAGCAGGGATAGAACAGATCCTGACAAATCCTATATCGTCTGAGACAGATGGAACATACTTTGCCCATTGCCTACTGAAAATTTATTTTACTTTCTGACTCATAACAGAGTCAGAGTCTTTTGTTCTTTTTTTTTTTTTTTTTTCTTTCTTTCTTTCTAAAGTTTTTAGTCCACAACTTACAGTGCATTTCAGGTGAAGTTCAGTCCATATTATGCTGCCCTCCTGGGATCATATTGCTTAGATCCTTACCACAAGATGTAAATAATCTTACCTTGGGGTTAATTACATGCATTATGGAGCATTTTAAGCAGTTGGAGTGGTACTGGAAATACAAACTCCAAACTTCAGAGGGGGGTGACCTACTTATACGTTGAAGTCATAACTACTTCAAGGTGCATCAAATTCTATAGCTAAAGATCTTGGATTTTGAAAAGTAGAGAAGCCTATGAAATACATGCTACTGTGTTTGGGTTTACAAACTGTTTATTGAGAGGCCTGAGACCTGATGTCATGAGATGGAGAGTTCAAGTTTATGCACCATTTTGCTCCTCTTGAATAGCAAAGGGTGTAGAAGGGAATGGCAGTCCAGTGTTTTAGCAATGATGTCATGGCAAGTAGTTCATGGCCACATCTTTTTGAGTGTCATCCCCTCACTGCTTGTCCTGGTGCCAGTTAGAGAACATTGCAGTTGTGTAGGTATGTTGCTTGCCTTGCCCTGCCATTAAAATTTGACATTAAAATTTGGAGCCTGTTGGCCGCTGTGCTCCATGAGTTTTTCCTTGAAATATGTGGACCTATGGGGAGTAATTAATCATAAAAGCTTGGGGATTTCAACTCTATCACCGAAGCAATGAAGCAAGGGAAAGCTGAGCCTAAAAGCTGTGCTGATTACCCGGGGTAACCTGATACAAAATCTATTGTTGCCGAGAGATCCTTAGCCCCAAGTATATCGTGCAATATTATAACTGCCTGATCTTCTTCTGTGCTGACAATGACCAGTTATTCCTCATTTTCTCTCTCAACACAGCTGGGTTAGAATTTCATTTGCAGAAGGTATTTAGAGCAATTTAGAGACAAATGTCTCTGGTGTTTGCTCTGCACTTCCCCACCGCAGGCTTCGCTGAACAGTTTTTAGTATCAGGAGCTCCATCTAATCTGTTTAATTTTAATAAATCCCTGACTGGGAGAATAGGAAGGGTGGGGAGATGGAGGCACAGAGAAACTGTGGCCCGAATAATACTTCTTATGAATTACTTGGCTAATAATTACTAAAGAGCAGAAATGGTTTGGTAGAGCTGTTTGTTTGTTCCTGTTTGTTAATTAGCCCTCCTTCCCTTTGTGCTAATTGTTTATTTGAAAACTTAGCAGTAGGAGATAGGAAGGGGCAGGGTCCAGTGGTGCCTGTACCCAGCAGTCACTGGAAATATGTCCATATGGAATCTGACCACTGAGCTTATAACGTGACCTCTGTTCAGTGCTCGAGAGCGGGAGGTGCATACTGTCATGGTACCCGTGTGCACTAGCAGATGGAGGCAATTATTCTTGAAACGTAGATGTTGTGGCTAATGTAGTCCTGAGGAAAGGGAGCATTACACAGTTTGGTGGGCTATTCCCCCTATTCTCTGATACACAGTCATGGTTTCCCAGTGATAACATTTATCCCCACCTTACCGATAGTGAGGCTGCCTGGAAGAGAAGTCCTCACTGCCAGTCAAAAAAGCATTTTCTGTAGAGAAACCATTTCAGTTACAAGAGTCTCTTTTAAAATTATCTTTGCAGGAAATAATGCAGAGGTACCCTTGTATTTTTTATACTGTATACTCTGATCCAAGTTTCTTCAAGCAGAAATTGCAATAGAAGATCCTTTTATGGGCACTAGAAGAATTTCAGGAGAGGGGAATGTTCATATCTATAGATAGTTGTACACCTTGTATGAACTTGTCCTTTGTATTTACTTTCATGGAGCTATACTGGAGAGCTCTGTGACTCCTCACTAAATCTGGTTAAAACCTCCTGCAGTGGAGATGCTCGTATGTGTGAATGCAGAAGGAAAAGACCAGGTGCCCTACCCCTGCAGGAGTCTTCCTCCACCCCAGCTACAGGGACAGGACTGAAGCATTAGCTGTGGGTGAGCTTTCGGATCCTGCAATCACAATTTTGCCTAAGAAATTCCACTTCTGAGACTTGCAGAGATGGTTCTGCCTTGAATTACATTTTTTTTCTTTCTTTTTTATAAGTATCTCCTTCCTAGAAAAGGCCAATCAAATTTAATTTCCGCTTAATATTATTTAATATTTAATGTAGGAACTGGATTTTGTTTAATACATTTTAGTGCAGTGAGAAATGAAGGTTTCTGCAGGCTCACCAGCTGGACTAGGTTTGGTTTCTTGTGAAATAGTAGTAGCAGAGGCTGAAAGTAGCCTTTCCTGGTTACTTGCAGGTGAGGGCTTTGCTGAACTGCTCTCTCTGGAACATGGGATGATAGTGTTGATGACAGTTGGGAGAGTGAGGGTGTCCCGGATTTCCAAAAGGTCTTTCAAAAGTTGGATCAGATTTCTCTGTTGTCTTAAGCATTTTTAAACTCCCAAATACAGAGGCATTAATGAGAAACATGAAGTTATTAGAATCATTTATAATTTTCTTTGAAGCTTACACTGGCATTTTGTGTAATTTATGACATTTCCTCCTTTTTATCATGAACTTCTTCAGATGAAGGGAAAAAACAGCTGTTTCCCCTCAGAGTATCTGAAAGAAAAGAAAGGAAAAAAAGATGCTGTTTGTTTTTTGTCCAACTCGCTGATTCTGCTGATGACATGCCACAGAATCAGCGGCGCCTTGGGAGTAATTAGACAGCATGTGGGGTTTAAACCCTTGTGGAAATGTGTCTGTCATCTAACTGTTGTGCCTCAGATGTCCTGTACTGCTCAGTTACCCATCCGGTAACTCATGTGGCTTGTTAATTTTGTCTACTCTGAATCTGTAACTTCTGGCAAGATAGAGAAAGGGGGTGGAAGTGCACTGTGCATGTGCAGCTCTATTTTTCAGGGTGCTGGTCCTTTGGGGCAGGGAAGGGAAAAACTGCTCAATTTGCAGATTTACAGAGTAATCTTGGATGAAGAACATTTTTCTTCTTAGTTGCCTGTTCTCTTTATCTGAAAAAACAAGTACAGTAATGCCTTCCCAAAGTGGGATTGTGGGAACAAGCAAAAGCTTATGAGCAGCTCAGAAATAATAGTGAGGGGAGAGCAGAAGTGCATTAGGGCAAGTAAATGTGTAATTGTTGAGTTACATTGGGAAAACGTCCACCCAGAAGGTTGGACAGTGTTAATAAGATACGCTGCCTGGGTTGGCCTTTTGTATCTGTAAGTAACATAATGGGCTGCATGCTTCCAAAATGGGCTGCATGCTTCCAAAAGCACTCAGTCCTGCTTGGTGAGATGAGCTGGAAGTTGCTGGAAGTGTTACCCTTTTGCATGTTGTATCTCCTGATCTGTTGCATTACTTTGGCTGGTAGGAGGTGGGTTACTACACAGTTCCTTGCAGTGCATCAGAGTTCCAGAAAATGTTGCCAGTGCCAAGATGCCAGGCTATGGTGATTTCTGAAGAGATGAATACATCATTTAACTGTACATGCCCCTTCCCAACCAGAGCTCAAAGACACTTGATTCCCTGGAAACAAGTGCTGTCAGTCCCAGAATCTCCATTAGAAAACTGACTTCATTTTCTTCCTCTTTCTGTGGTCTGTGTTCTTGGAAGTTGAACCCCTGTCTTTTCTCCCTTGCCAAAGAAACCCAAGTGGATCACCTTGAGCACCCAAGACAAGGGGGCACAACCCACTGCTGTAGGGCTTTAAAGAAAGCAAATTCTTCAGCAGATTTCAATTTCACCCTCTTTTATTACTTTTTTATAATTTAAGTCCATTTCATGAGGCAGTTTGCATGTCCTTGAATGGAATCTCGTTACCATGAAAGCTTTTTTAGCATTGATTTCATAACAGTCTTAATTTAATAGCGCCGTCATTACTGAGAAGCCCTGAGAGTGAGGCCCTGACTTTCCAGGTCACTGACCTTTTAATTACAAACCTTGTTCTGATGGTCAGGTTATCGACTGGACAGCTCCCAACTCCGGCCCCCAGCACGAAGATGAAAATAACTGCCTTTCCTCCCCCACTTCCAGAACGGGGAGGAAAAGAAAAGTAACCTCTTGTGTTTCCAAAATTAATTTTCTCCTTCAGCTTTACTTTGTAATTAATTCTTTAACATGTCTCAGTGAAGCTCGAACAGTTTTTACAAAGCTTTTCCTTGAAAAGATAATACAATGCAAGCCAATAATGTCCAGTGACAACTCCTAAAACAAAATATATAGTTAGTAGCCCATGCTGTCAAAATACCTATTTGGGCCAAACTGCTATGGCTGCCCAAACCTTATGCTTGTCTAGAAATGAACATGTTTCATGCACGAACGTGTGTCACCCCAGGTTTATATGGTGAGCATGATGTCCTGTGGTCTG